ACAGTTTTTCTACTGTCTCCCTCGTCACTGTTACATTTATTATGAGGGAGAGATGATGCGGTATATTTGTCGGTTTTCTCTTCTTATAGTTCACCAAACTCGCAATTTTCCCTCTTGGTTGTTTTTCCCTTTACCACATGAAAAAAATGCTCTACCAGTATTTCATTAAAAAAGTATAAAGACAAACATTCGCCTGATTGGTGTGGCTCAGTGGTTTAGCATCGACCTAGGAACAAGGAGGTCACGGTTAGATTCCCAGTCAGGGCACATGCCCGGGTTGTGGGCTTGATCCCCAGTGGGGATGTACAGGAGGCAGCCGATCAAGGATTCTCTCTCATCATTGATGTTTCCATGTCTCTCTCCCTCTCCCTCTCTTCGAAATCAATACAAATGTTTTATATACACACACACACACATACACACATACACACACACACGCTTCCTTCTGAAATGTCAGGCCATGCCATGCCTGTATGAAGGTCAGGCACAGTTTCTGCACGTTGGTCCACGCAGATCCACGTTTAATCATGAATTGCTACTGGGGTCGCCTTGACAATTCTCATACGTGTGTTTCCCACGTCAGTTTTCTGATTGAGTCCAAATGCTACATCAGTGCGTGCTCTCAAACTGGAGAATGCACAGCCCGGGCCCGGGCCAGACGCTGCAACCAACAGAACATCCGGGTACAACTTTCCTACAAAATTTGGGAGAAACAAGCTCAGGGAATTACAATCCTCCCCTCCCCTCCCTATGAACATGTCAGATAAAGAAGAGCGGTGTGTAGGGGGGCGCCGGGGGCTGGGGGAAGAGAAGGTCCAGATATACAGTCTGGTCTCTGAAGTGTCCACGTGGGCCGGATGGGCCGACCTGCAGCGAGGGTAGCAGCCTCGGCTCTTGTCTCCCGACAAGCCTGGCAGCTCGGAAAGCTCAGCGGTGAGTTGGGACTCAGCACTTCTGAAGGCCGCGGAGGTGCCAGCCAGCCTCTCCATTGGAACCTGATGGAGTGAACGCCTGTAGTTCGCAACCCTCCATCCTCCACGGCTCCGAGTCCTCTCCCCGGGGCGCACCGCGCGTGCGAGGCCGCGGGAACGTCTTGCACGGCGCTCACCACACCTGCTGGCGTCCAGCACGTGGCTGGTCTCCTGGGACCCCCTCAAGGTCACGGTCTTCCTGCTCCATGCCAAGTGCAGGGAGTGCGGCCGGGCCTCCAGGGTGCTCGACGCTCCCACGGTGAACGCCGATCCCACAGCTGAGTGGCTCCTGCAGTCAGAGGTTCAGAGCATCAGACTTGCCTGGCCCACCCATTGGCGGCTCCACATCAGGACCCCAGAGCCGGGGCCATTGACGCCAGCGCCTCTGTCTCTCCAGCTGCTGAGCGGGAGGGGCGGGGAACACAGCCCCAGGGGATGCTGGGGTGTGCGCTGTCGGAGTTCATTTCAAGAAAGCCTGCGATTGTCATGGGTTCGATTTCAGAAGCAGCTGTGTGATGTTAACGAAGAATAACTCCTGGGGAAACACACACACACACACAACTCACACACACACGTTCACAATCACACCACACAGAATCAGCAAGGCCCCCGCCAGCTCTGCAAACTGTCCACCGCCTGGGCAACCCAGCCTCCAGGAGGGCAGGCCTCGCCCATCCGACAACCTGGGGGCCTGCCTGGTGGAGGAGCCCATCCCCCTACATATGCCCTGAGCCCTGGCTGGCTTGGCTCAGTGGATAGAGTGACCGCCTGCAGACTGAAAAGTCCCAGATTCGATTCGCAGTCATGGTGCATGCCTGGGCTCAATCCCCAGTGAGGCAGCCAATCAATGATTCTCTCTCTGTCTCTCGCTTCTTCCATGAAATCAATGAAAATATCCTATATAATAGAAGCCTAATATGCTAAGTGTCTGGTGATGCTGGACGCCAGGGGCAGTGACTGTGGCTGTGCCGCCCAGAGACAAGCCTGACACCGCTGTGTCCTGGGAGCTCTGCCTGCGGCAGGAGTTTCTGTTCCTGGGACGGATGGAAGCTCCTAGAAACTCCTCGTGGGGGTCACTGGGCAGCGACTGGGGATTTCCAACCATAAGGACCCGACCACAGGGCACAGCTCCCAACTCACCACTGAAATGTAAAGTGATGTTAGAAAACGTCTATTCACACCTTTCAACCCGGAGCAGAAGGCGTTCCGTTACCAACGCTTTTCCATCAATTCCTCCGCCCACAGTTTCCACCAATATGCATCATCCTAGAATATTTAAATCAGCCTTATTCTGACTTTCACAGGTAATAACATACATACATGTGAAGCTGGCTGAGTGCTGACTAATATAGTGTAAAGTTTTAAAGAAGCCCCAGCACAGCAATTAGAAAACGTCAACATTTTTTTGACAAGCAGGTCCCCCATGTTTCCCTTTTCCTCTCAGATAAATGCCAACGTCTGACTGTGCGTTGAGAACAGATCCCAGGAGTGACCACAGCCCACGGCTCATGGAGAACAATGGTGTCAGGAGGAGGAAATATGGACAGAAAATAACAGTGACCCCTGACCCCGAACGAGGACAGCCCACGAGGGCTTCCTCCCCCCCTGCCCAGCCCTGGGGAAGGGCCCCTTTCTCCTCGGGGCCCTGGGTCCACGGGAAGGAGGCCTCCCGCCACCAGGAGTGAATCCCACACAAGACAGAACCGAGTCCCTCACAGAAGGGGACGCACCCCCACGGGGCTGTGCCTGCTCTGGCCCTGACCTGAGCCCTGACCCTGGTCTAAGAGCTGGTGCAGGAGCCGCCACTTGAGTCCTGACCACGGACCAGCCCCGGGAGCTGTGGTCAGACTCCCCCTGAGGACGCCGAGTAGAGACTGAAGGTGCCCCGAGGTGAGGGGAGGCCATAGAGGCGACCCTGGCCTGGCCCTAGGGCAGGGGCAGTGGGCAGAGCAGTGGGAAGGCAGAGGTGGCCTCTCATGGGTTCTGGTCCCCATGTCACTCAATGGTGTGTCTGAGCCTGGACACTAGAGGGCGCTGGGGGTTTGCTCCTGAGGATCTGGGTGCTCAGAGCTGGGACCAGCCCCTGACAAAGCCCAGGACCCTCTGCTCAGGGCTGTCAGCTGTGACCTCCGCAAACCTGGGCCCCACACAGCCCCTCCCCCACCCACACCAATGGCCATCCTCAGGCAGAGGGCCCTGCCCAGGGCCCAGGGAGGGATCAGATAGATGGGGTCTCATTTGCATAACAGGACCCTCCCTCCCACAGACTATGAAGAGGGGAAGGGAGAGGTGTGGGGAGCTCTGCTTCAGCTGTGGGGCCTCAGGAGGCAGGACTCAGGGATGACCTCCACCATGGCCTGGGCCCCTCTCCTCCTCACCCTCCTGGCTCACTGCACAGGTGACTGGATAAGGGGACGGGGAAGGGGCCTTGGGAAGACACATGGGCCCTGCTTCCTCCTCTTGTCTCTACACCCAGACTCACCATCTCCGTGTCTCCCCCTCTTCAGGATCCTGGGCCCAGTCTGTGCTGACTCAGCCATCCTCAGTGTCGGGGTCCCTGGGCCAGAGGGTCACCATCTCCTGCACTGGAAGCAGCTCCAACGTTGGGCGTGGTGACTATGGGTCCTGGCTCCAGCAGCTCCCAGGAAAGGCCCCCAAACTCCTCATCTATGAGAGTAGCAAACGACCCTCAGGGGTCCCTGATCGATTCTCTGGCTCCAGGTCTGGCAACTCGGCCTCCCTGACCATCACGGGGCTGCAGGCTGAGGACGAGGCCGACTATTACTGCGAGTCATGGGACAATAGTCTCAGTGCTCCCACAGTGCTGCAGGCCTGTGGGGAAGTGAGACAAAAACCCCTCTGGTCTGCGAGGGGGTGAGCTCTCCAGCAGCTGCCTGCTCAGCTCAGCTTGTGACCTGCGGCTTCTGCTTATTTCCTTGCTGACGCCCTGGGCCCAGCTTCATCCGGGGACCCTGCCTGGGGGTGAAGGGTCCTCCCTCCCCTCCGGCCTCCATGTCACTCAGAGCAGCGCTTTCCCAGGCTCAGGGTCCTGGAGGAAGGGAAGGCCTCTCACACCCGAGGTGCCTGTTCCCTCCCCCTGGGCTGCATTCACTGGGCCTGTGAGGCTGAGATGAGTGACAGCTGGTTGTGCCCGCCCCTGCCTGGGGCTCAGCACTGTGTGCTGAGCTGGAAGGACCCCTGGCCCTGTTCCATCCCATCAGGATTTAGTCCCTTTAAGCTGTGCGACTGGTTTCCATTTCCTCTGTGATTTTAAGCACAAAAATCGGCAATTCACAGCTGTCACGATAGCAGATTCTGTGGTGAAGGAAAGGGATAATAATTTGACTTAACTCCAGACAATTGGTCCAGGAGGAGACACTTCTGGCTGTGACTACCTGGCTCTGGGATTGTGGACAGCATGGGGACCCGGCAGGGGGCGCTGTCACATTGTGTCTGTGAAAGCAGCTGAGAGAGTGGATCTTCAGTGTCCTCAGCACAAGAAATAGCAAAACTTGTAGCCACGTCTGATGGCTGAGGTCAAGGAGACGTATTCTGGGATGGTTCTGCAGTTTACACCTCACAGAGTCTTTATGTCGTACACCTGACACTAATTAATGTTAATTACATCTCCATTAAAAATAAATTAAAATAAATCTGAATCTTCTGTTTCCCACAAACCAGCAGGAGGAAGTCTATAGCAGCTTTATTAACCCCCGAGAGCAGTGGTTCTCAACCTTATCTGCACATTAGAATCACCTGGGAATCTAGTTAAACTCTTGTGCCATCCCTAACCGGTTTGGCTCAGGGGATAGAGCATCAGCCTGTGGACTCAAGGGTCCCAGGTTCGATTACAGTCAAGGGCATGTACTTTGGTTTCGGGCACATCCCCAGTGGGGGTTGTTCAGGAGGCAGTTGATCGATGTTTCTCTCTCACCGATGTTTCTAACTCTCTATCCTCACCCGTCCTCTCTGTAAAAAATCAAAAAAAAAAAAAAATTCTTGTGCCGGCTGCTGGTTCCTTGGTCATTGCCCATCAGCTCATCCGGACCTGGAACCTCTGTACTGACAGGTTACTTAGGACATCTGTGTCCACATCTAGCATGACTGTCCTGTCATTTTTGGTTTTCTATCATTTCCAGGAGCATTTGTCGTCGTGATAACGACTAAAACCAACAAGGACAGGTTACATCTTGTTAAATGTTTTAGAGAAATTTGGATGAAAATGAATTGGAACCATTTGATCTGCTGACCTGTGAGAGGGCCTGTGAAACTGTGCCTTTCCCGTTCTGTGAAGTCGTCCCTCAGCATTTTCTGTTTTATAAGAACATTGGTCTCTCACTTATTCCATCATAGTTGCAGCCTCACTTGTGTCTTCAGAGGAAAGTAAGCATGTTATCTACCTTCTGCATAAAAGGCTACTATGCAAAGTGTCCCCTCGGGAGTTCGACCCGGAAACTGGCAGTTCAATGGCTCCCTATGACATGTACTGACCAACAGGGGGCGATGTGGAACATGGCCGTGGAGCAGTGGTGGGGCGCTGAGGGAGTGAGGGAAGGAGGACGTGGGGAGGTGGGGAACCTGATTGGTGTGATCACCGGCCACCCCTAGGGACCCTACTGGTGCATGAATGTTGTGCACAGGGACTCTAGTGTTTAAATTAAGGTTATAAATCTTAGCGGTTTCCTGTTTTTATTTTTGCACATGTGACCAGCAGGTGGCACTGTGGGACTGCCCTGAGGTTCATGCAAGCTGCTCAGTGAGGACCATTTACTGACAGGAGCCCCATGGCCATGCTCTGTGCTCCCTGAAGGGGAAGCAGCAGCCGTGTCCTCTGAGCAGGGACCCATGTGTGGTCCCAGCAGGTGCTTCCTCCCAGGGCTCCCCAAGGGGTGAGCCCACCTCTATGCCCCTCAGTCTGGGGTGTGAGCTGAGCTCCAGCCCCAGGGCCCAGGGAGGGGCTGGGCAGTCCCTGGAGGGGCTCCCATTTGCATGGCAGCCCCTCCCCTGGCAGAGGGTGGGGGAGAAAAGGAGCCTGGGCAGCCCAGCCCCACTGTGGGCTCAGGGCTGTGATCACCATGGCCTGGACTCCTCTGCTCCTCGTGCTCCTCTCTCACTGCACAGGTAGGGACAGGCCTGGGACCAGGCTTCTTCCCTTTCTGCTCAGGCTCCTGGGAAACGTCCCCTGGTCCCTGCCCATCACTGACAAGTGTCTGTGTCTGCAGGGTCCCTCTCCCAGCCTGTGCTGACTCAGCCGCCCTCCCTCTCTGCATCTCCGGGAGCCAAGGCCAGACTCACCTGCACCCTGAGCCGTGGCTCCAATGTTGGTGACTACTACATATCCTGGTACCAGCAGAAGCCAGGGAGCCCTTTCCGGTTTCTCCTGTCCTACTACTCAGACTCAATTAAGGAACAGGGCTCCGGGGTCCCCAGCCGATTCTCTGGATCCAAAGACACATCGGCCAATTCGGGACTCCTGCTCATCTCCGGTTTGAAATCTGAGGACGAGGCTGACTATTACTGTGCTACAGACCATGGCAGTGGGAACAGCTACCATTGCACACAGTGTCTCAGATGATGAGGAAGTGAGACCAGAACCCCTGGGTCCAGAGGTGAGGGCTGCCTGCACTTAGGGTGTCAATCCCAGGAGCCCACCCAGCGTCCCCTCATCAGCAAAAGGCCCGCCGTCCCCCAGGGAGTGACAAGGGTTCAGGAGCCTGTTCTGAGGCCAGGAGCCAAGACCAGCGTATGTTTCCTATCAGCTCACATCCTGTGTCTGTAACTGCACATGGTCACCCAGACAGCCATGCTCCCCACAGGTTAATGTCATGTGTGTGAACCCTGTGTCACCACTGACCCATCATGTCTGATATGTTAGTGTCCACCCTGGTCATGGACACAACCTTCTCCTTCTCTGATCAAACCCACAGAAGGTTGGTCACAACCAGCACAGACTCTCAGTGACACCCTCCCTCCCCCTCTTCCCTCCTCTGCTGCTGCCTCCCTCACCCCCTCCTCTCCCTCGGGCTCCTCAGCTCTTCACTCCATCCTCACGGGAGGGTTTCAGGGAAAAGGGACAAGTTCCTGCTGCAGTTCCGTCCCCCAGGCCTCCGTCTCTAGGGAGGGTGAGTCACAGGAGTTAATCAGCATCGACTCCCTTCAGAGTCCTGTTCCCTCTCTCACCTCCCACCTGAGGTTGTCCACTCCTCACAGCCTCAGCCAGTCTCTTCTATGTGAAACGACAATTACTGATTTTTCCAAAGCGGATGAGCCCGATCTCCTTTGCCTGTTTGCACACGGGGAGCTACTAATGTAATTGTCTCCTCCTCCCACGTCCCGAGGCCCTACCTGCCCCCTTTGGGGTGCAACCAGCTATTGTCTTGTTCCTGAGAACACTCTTTTCTAAGAACGTCAGGACCAAGTCCCCACACACACATTGAGCTCAGATTAGCGAAGCCCATGCAGTAGCCCTTTTTCTGTAAATGTACCCACTCTCCTGGCCACCCCCAGGGAGGAGCTAGGGCCGCAGGGAGCTGGGGGCAGGCTGTGCTGTCAGCGCAGAAACAGGGGGGCTGGTGCTCACCCTGCCCTGTGCTTCCTGAGGCCCGAAGGCCCCGCAGCCGAGGGTCGTGTCCCCGCAGAATGAAAGGGGACAGACGCCTCTCCCGCCACAGGACCCGGCTCCTCACGTGGTGAGCAGCCCCTGTGAGCCCTTCACACCGGCCCCACCGCCCCTTCCCTGTGCTGCTGGGGGAGAAGCTCACTGTGCATTAGCTTTGCAACAGCCTCATGGAGAGTGAGACCCAATTACTATGTTATTTACGTGCACTTTGCTCCTTTCCCACAAGAGGACCCGGGACTGAAGCACCACAGTCATCACTGCAGTGTGTCAGGGTGACAGCAGCTGGGAAGGAGCCCTCACACATGTGCACAGAGTGACCTGAAGCGGTGTGACCTGTGACCAGCAGGGGGCGCTGGGGGACAGCTCTGTGGGCCTCACACTGCAGCTTAGGGAGGACCATTCACTCAGAGGTTGAGCCCTGTGCTGCCTACAGGGGACTCAGCAGCTGTGTCCTCTCAGGCCTAGCAGCGCCCCCTGAGCAGGGACCCTTTTGTGGTCTCAGCAGGTGCTTCCTCCCAGGGCCACCCAAGGGGTGAGCCCACCTCCATGCCCCTCAGTCTGGGGTGTGAGCTGAGCTCCAGCCCCAGGGCCCAGGTAGGGGCTGGGCAGTCCCTGGAGGGGCTCCCATTTGCATGGCAGCCCCTCCTCTGGCAGAGGGTGGGGGAGAAAAGGAGGCCTGGGCAGCCCAGCCCCACTGTGGGCTCAGGTCTGTGAGCACCATGGCCTGGACTCCTCTGCTCCTCGCGCTCCTCTCTCACTGCACAGGTAGGGACAGGCCTGGGACCAGGCTTCTTCCCTTCCTGCTCAGGCTCCTGGGAAAGGTCCCCTGGTCCCTGCCCATCACTGACAAGTGTCTGTGTCTGCAGGGTCCCTCTCCCAGCCTGTGCTGACTCAGCCGCCCTCCCTCTCTGCATCTCCGGGAGCCACAGCCAGACTCACCTGCACCCTGAGTGGTGCTTCCTATCCTCTCAGTGCTTTCTGGATAAACTGGTACCAGCAGAATCCAGGGAGCCGTCCCCGGTACCTCCTGGGCTATCATTCAGACTCAAGTAAGAAACAGGGCTCCGGGGTCCCCAGCCGCTTCTCTGGATCCAAAGACGCCTCGGCCAATGCGGGGCTCCTGCTCATCTCGGGGCTGCAGCCTGAGGACGAGGCTGACTATTACTGTCAGGTTGGAGAAAATACTGATTCCCACAGTGACACACACAGATGGGGAAGTGGGACAAAAACCTCGGCCTCCCCACGGGCCTCATGACTGATGCCCATTGTAACATGAGTTGTTCATGTCCAAGCCGTACTTGGCAGCACCTTCCTGTGCAGAATGGGTCTACTCTTCATCTTCCTCTCCATGTTTCTGACGTCTCAGTGTTCTCTGTAAAACTACCTGTATTTTATGCATGTTTGTGGACTAATTCCATAATTATGTTTTCTAGTTTTTTCTAAGGATATTGGTCCATTTATTTAGTTTTCTCTAATATTTCTAATTTCTATTTTTCTAAGAAAATCTGCATTTTATCTATTTTTCAATCAAGGTCCATATTTATATATTTGCATTTTAAACTTTTCTCTCACGTCTTTTTACTTGTATATCATTGAATTATTCATTTTCATGTAAAAGTAGCAAGTGGTTGTTCTATTCTTTCATTGAAAAACATGACATCAATGTGCCCAATTAGATTACACTTTTTCTACTGTCTCCCTGTTCACTGTTGCATTTATTATGAGGGAGAGATGATGTGTCTTATTTGTTGTTTTTCTTTTCTTATAGTTCACCACACTCGCAATTTCTCCCTCTTGGTTGTTTTTCCCTTTACCACATGGAAAAAATGCTCTACCAGTATTTCATGAAAAACGTATAAAGACAAAGATTTGCCTGATTGGTGTGGCTCAGTGGTTGAGCATCGACCTATGAACCAGGAGGTCACGGTTAGATTCCCAGTCAGGGCACATGCCCGGGTTGTGGGCTTGATCCCCAGTGGGGATGTACAGGAGGCAGCCGATCAAGGATTCTCTCTCATCATTGATGTTTCCATGTCTCTCTCCCCTGCCTCTCTCCGAAATGAATACAAATATATTTTAAATACACACACACACACACACACACACACACACACACTTCCTTCTGAAATGTCAGGCCATGCCATGCCTGTATGAAGGTCAGGCACAGTTTCTGCACGTTCGTCCACGCAGATCCACGTTTAATCATGAATTGCTACTGGGGTCGCCTTGACAATTCTCATACGTGTGTTTCCCACGTCAGTTTTCTGATTGAGTCCAAATACTACATCAGTGCGTGCTCTCAATCTGGAGAATGCACAGCCTGGGCCTGGGCCAGACGCTGCAACCAGCAGAACATCTGGGTACAGCTTTTGCTGGGAGCCAGTCCATCCTTGCTGCTTGACACAGTCGCTGCAGGGAAGAAACATCTGCACAGCATATGTTTCAAGGCACCTGGCGTATATAGCATACTGTTCTTAATATGTTTGCTCCCCTTAGCGCTATGTGTTTTAGCCAAGGTCACCTCTCCGAGAAAGGTTGTTTCCCCAGGTGGGGATCTTTCCCTGAGGTTAGGGAGGGGATACAACCCCTTAATTAAGTGCCAGGCGGGTAGTTAAGCTACATAATCTTTACTCCCTGGAATGGAGATAAGAAACGCCCTAACCTTTGTAATAGAAATTGACAGGATTAAAATTGGCTGGTATAAATACGGATGTAACAAGACAATAAACACTTGGAGTGCGGGAAACGAGTTAAGTCGGCTCGCGGGAATTGCGCGTACTCCGCGGGAGCCGTCTTTAACTCGGTTCATATAGATTTGCGGTGGAGTGCGGGAAACGAGTAAACTCGGGCCGATTGTAACTGCGTATTACCAAATATTTGTTTGTAATCCACCCTTTTGGTGGATGGAACAAAACCAAAAGACAGAGCCATCTTATATTTTGGCAGGAAATTCACCCGCACTCCAAGTGTAAACATCAGAACCTCATCAGTTCCTAACCAGAGCTCCGACCAGAACTTTGGCTGGAGATCCTGGCTATAGGTCCTGACTGGGCTGCTGATCAACTGAAGGCTGTCTTCGTGTCGTTCCTTCTTCGCCAACTCCGTCCACACCTTTGGGGACCCCTGGACCTGCTGGGATTGGACCCCAGCAAGCTTTCCTACAAAATTTGGGAGAAACAAGCTCAGGGAATTACAATCCTCCCCTCCCCTCCCTATGAACATGTCAGATAAAGAAGAGCGGTGTGTAGGGGGGCACCCGGGGGCTGGGGGAAGAGAAGGTCCAGAGATACAGTCTGGTCTCTGAAGTGTCCACGTGGGCCGGATGGGCCGTCCTGCAGCGAAGGTAGCAGCCTTGGCTCTTGTCTCCCGGACAAGCCTGGCAGCTCAGAAAGCTTAGCGGTGAGTTGGGACTCAGCACTTCTGAAGGCCACGGAGGTGCCAGCCAGCCTCTCCATTGGAACCTTATGGAGTGAACGCCCATAGTTCGCAACCCTCCATCCTGCACGGCTCCGAGTCCTCTCCCCGGGGCGCACCGCGCGTGTGAGGCCGCGGGAACGTCTTGCACGGCGCTCACCACACCTGCTGGCGTCCAGCACGTGGCTGGTCTCCTGGGACCCCCTCAACGTCACGGTCTCCCTGCTCCATGCCAAGTGCAGGGAGTGCGGCCGGGCCTCCAGGGCGCTCGACGCTCCCACGGTGAACGCCGACCCCACAGCTGAGTGACTCCTGCAGTCAGAGCTTCAGAGCATCAGACTTGCCTGGCCCACCCATTGGCGGCTCCACATCAGGACCCCAGAGCCGGGGCCATTGACGCCAGCGCCTCTGTCTCTCTAGCTGCTGAGCACGAGGGGCCGGGAGGAGAGGGGAACACAGCCCCAGGGGATGCTGGGGTGTGCGCTGTCGGAGTTCATTTCAAGAAAGCCTGCGATTGTCATGGGTTCGATTTCAGAAGCAGC